AAGAGGTAAGTCACCGCCGGCTGAGCCGCCCAGAGCGCCCCCCAAAGCCTCGCTTCTCAGACCAGAGGGGCCATCTGCGTGGCGAGGAGTGCAGGGAGCACCCCATCCCCACGGCTCCCCGTGGGCGTGTGAGTGCAAGGCCCTGCCCACGGGTCACTCCCAGAGGTCCCACTCCTTCCCCGCAGAAGCACACCCTGTCCCTTCCAGGATCGCCAGGCTGGAAATGTGGCCCTTTGGGGGGTGGGCAGGCCGTGTGCATTGGTCTCCAGGGAACAGTTGCTCCGGGAGATGCTGGTGATGCTGACAACTCCGAGTGCCTCCCTTGCAGCCTGAGCTTGCCCCTTCACACCAGGTCCTTGCAAAAGCCCATACCAGCTGCCACCTTGCCCGGGAGGCCTGTCACCATCCCCGGAGACGTCCTTCCCTGACCTCTGCCCTCCCCTCCCAACGTGGGAGGAAGCACCCATTGCACTCCAGGCCCCTCCGGCTCTGGCTGACCCCGCGGTTGACCTCAGCGCTTTCCCGGGACGTCGGGGAGGGAGGGAGAAGGTGCCGCTCCCGCCTCTGCCCTCACCAGGTTCCGACCACGGACAGGAGTCTGTCTGGACTCATTCCCGGGACAGGGAGATGGGGCCGGAGGTGTGGGCTGCGTGAGGCCCTCCCCGGGGCCCTCCCTGCACCCCGAGTTCCGGAGTCTCTCACACTGTTGCTCTCTCACACTTGTGGCTCCTCAGAGGGGCCGGGGCCAGGACCGATATTAAAGGGAGTCCCGCCAGGTTCCCAGTCAGGTGTGGACGCGGGAGTGGGGGGGAGGGCCCCCCGCGGGGCTCTGGCTGCCAGAGGGATGGGGCGGGGCCACTGGGCTCTGGGAGGGAGAGGAACTGAGGACCGGTGCTCCTGTGAAGGCAGGTCCCCAGATGCGCGGGGGGCCTCCGGGGGTGGGAAAGCCACTCGCAGGACGTGGCGCAGAGCCTGCGTGATGCGCACACGCCTCGGAGGAAGGCCACGCACCCCACCACCCACCCCTGCAGGCGGCCTTAGACAGAGGGGGCGGCTTCAACACGAGCCGCTCCTGGTTCCCACCCAGAGGGAAAATCGGTGGGACCCGCTGGGGCCGGGCAGGGGCTCAGGATTTAAAGGCCTCCGGAGGGTTCCGCCTGTGGGGCTGAGTCTCATCTCTCATCACCAGCCCTGCCTCCCTGGCCTGAGCCTCGCTGGGCCCACACTGCTCTCTGATGGCAGGACATCGAGTGGAGCAGAGGGGCAGGGGTGCCTGGGGGGCCTGAGGGGTCGGGGGGCCAGGGGACTGGGGATTGTTTCCTCTGAGGAACAGCTAGGACGGAGCTCTACCTGCTCTCGTTCACCGAGTGAGAACCTGACGCGCCCGCACAGCCTCCTACTGGGCCCAGCCGACACCGTGCCCTCCCTCTTGTCCCAAATGACCTGCCACCGTGCATTTTAAGAATTTCTTCTCAGTTTCAGGTGCAAGATGCACCAGAGACGTTCCTTGGGGATTTCCGGGGAGAAGGTTGTTGTACCCTCAGCTGCTGCCCCCACTCCCCCTCCACGGCGTGACCCTGGGAAGCCCACGCTGCCCCTCACTTGCCCAGGAGGCCAGCCCGGGCCGGAGCCCTGCCCTCCAGAAGGTTTAGGGAAAATCAGCCGCCCAGGGCCTTCTAACCCCCAGAGAGAGCGTGGTTCCCCGGGGCTTCACGCTGATGCACAGAGCAGGCGCGTCCCAGCACAGCCACGAATCCGCTCGACGCACAAGACAGCTCTCCGTGTCCAGGGTCCAAGGACACACTAGCCCGGAGAGACATGAAAGAAATTTTCCATTGATTCTTAGAGAGAGTGGAAGGGAAGAGGGAGGAGGGGGAGGGAGGGGGAGGAGGAGGAGGAGAGATCAATTGGTTGCCTCCCGCAGGCACCCTGGGGCCAGGGATCAAACCAGCAACCCAGCTAGGTACCTGCCCTTGACTGGGAATCGAACCTGTGACCCTTCGGTGCTTGGGCCGATGCTCTACCCAGTGAGCCACCAGCCATGCGACTATAACCCTGCTCATCCCTGATTTGCTGCAGGTGTGGGTCCTGCGCCTGTTGACTCCTTAAACCGCCTGCATTTCTGTAGCAAGAGAGGCAGAGGCCGGGCCCTTCCCGAGAGGCGCTGCGTGCTCCTCCCTCAGGGGCTGCCGACAGTTCCACGCGTCCTCGTGGGCAGTTTACGGGGCAGCAGCGAGCTGCTTTTTGCGAAGAAATTGTGCAGAAGAACGAGGACGCTGTTCCTTCTCGCGCAGACATGCACAGCCCCCGGCAGAGTGCGGGGCTGCGGGGAACCGCCCGCTCCGGGGGGTCATGGACCTGACAGGGACCCGTCTTACCTCCGGGAAGGAGCAGGAGAAAGGTGGCCGCGGAGAGAGCGGAGGCCAGAGCCGCCTGGGAGTCCCTCATGCTGCCCAGCCAGCCAGGTGGGTGGGATCTGTTCTCCGTCCTTGACCGACCGCTCTTTATAGTGCGCTCAGAGGATGTGGCTTTCTCTCTCTCTCTTTCTCTAAGTTTCAAAGTTGAGCCCTGGCCTCGGGGGCCTCAGAAGGGAGCACACCCCTAGGAAGGCCTGCGTGTCCCCTGATCAGAGGCGTCCAGCTTCCCGCATCAGCAGCACTGTCCTCCACACCCACGAATGGGGTGGGCGCTCTCGTGACGGCTCACGTTAGAGCTTTAAAAGCTGTCCTCACACGTGGTCACTGACCAAACTTCTTCCTGGTCATCTCTGGGTTCTGGAAGGAGCCACAGGGCCCGGGCCAGGCGGTGCCTTGTTTGTCCGCAAGCTCCTGCCTGGACTCCCCTCCCGCCTCGTCCGGGACAGCTGTGCGCCGCCTGGGGCCCGAGGCAGGTGTGGGCAGGCGCTGCTGGAGGGAGGGGCTGGCTCTTTGCAGACCTCGGCTGGTGCTCCCCCCGACGGACGGACTTCACAGCTTTAGACCCGTGACCGGCAAGAGGGCGAGGTCCGGTGCTTGGCCTCTGGAGGGAGGGATTTCAGCCAGGAGACAGGTGCGCGCAGCGGGCGGGATGCACTGGCCGCTGCGAGCACATCAGGTGGCCGGTGCTTCCTGCGAAGGCAGGTGCCCAGGTGTGCTGTCTGTTAAAGCTGGGACAGCGAGGCAGGAGGGCCTAGGCCAGGGGTTCTCAACCTTGGCTGCACGTTAGAATCACCTGGGAATCTTTTTAAAAGAGGAGGAGGCCCAGAAATCGGGATTTTAAAAAGATTCCCAGGTGATTCTAATGTGCAGCCAAGGTTGAGAACCCCTGGGGCTAGGACAGTGGTCGGCAAACTGCGGCGAGCCACATGCCACAAAATACCATGTGCGGGCGCGCATGTACAGTGCGATTGAGACTTCGTGGCCCATGCGCAGAAGTCGGTATTTTGTGGAAGAGCCACACTCAAGGGGCCGAAGAGCCGCATGTGGCTCTGGAGCCGCAGTTTGCCGACCACGGGCCTAGGAGAAGCCACAGAGAGCCCAGGCCGGCTGCTCAGCTCACAGGGAAGCCCGAGAACAGGGGCCTGGGGACAGGCTCAGGACTCAGCCAGGACGAGCTGTTGCTGCTCACGGCTCCCCTGGTGCCAAGTCTCCTGGGGCCCCTCAGAGGTTAGGAGATGCCTGCCCGCGGGGGAAGTGAGGGGGGGATGGCACTGAGTGCTCCCTGGAGGGGGTGTGGGCCGGCCCTCTGCCCTGAGGGCTTTAAAGGCTGTGAGTCTGGGGGGTCTTAGGGGAGGAGCTCAGCAGAGTGTCCATCCGCTCCCAGGGGTCCTGGTCTCCCCGAGTGGCCGGTGCTGAGTGGGGGGCAGGGTCCTGGGTCAGTGCGGCGGGTCCCGAGGCAGCCGTGGCATCGCTGGTCTGGTGCTGCTGCTTTCCCGGGCCTGGGGCTGAGACACCACTGAGGCCTAGATGTTGCCTCCAGGGAGGAGAGGTCAGGAGTCCAACCGCACGACCAGCGCAATCCTGGGGGGTAGGTCACCCTGGGCGAGGTCCTTGCTTTCCCAGCTCGGTCCCTGGCTGGGCATCGGGCTCTCCGCCTGGAGACTCTGGTACCTGGCCCATCGCCCCTGCTCTGCTCATGTCCGTCCAACTACCTATGACAGAGACTTGGACACCTGTCTCCCCCTCCCTCCTTCCCTTCTTCTCTCCTGCCCTCCCTCCCTCCCATCCTCTTCCTTCTGGATTTAGCTGAAGGAGAACAGGGGTGAGTCACGGCTGTTTTTTATTGATTTTTTACAGAGAGGAAGGGAGAGGGATAGAGAGTCAGAAACATCGATCAGCCGCCTCCTGCACATCTCCTACCGGGGATGTGCCCACAACCCAGGTACATGCCCTTGACCGGAATCGAACCTGGGACCTCTCAGTCCACAGGCCGACGCTCTATCCACTGGGCCACACTGGTTAGGGCGACCTGGCTGTTTAGTTCCGACACTGGGCTCCTGCCTGGGGTGGCTCAGCCTCGGACCTGAAGGCACAGCATCCGGCTTCCTATGAGCAATCAACACCTTTGCTCTTTCCCGGAGCTGAGGACGATGCTATCGTGGCCCTGTGGTCCGTGTCCCGTCAGGACGTGGGTGTGTGCCCACCCTGGGGTTAACACCCCGATGACTTCAGACTCGGGGTGACTTTCCCAGAAATCACGCCCGGGGGGCGCGGAGCCCTGGGTTTCCTTTTCCCGGGGTTGTTGGTGCGTCAGGGCCCTCCCGCCAGGGCCGGCCTCTGGCGAGGGTGAGTGCGGCCTCAGAGGGAATCAAGTGCTCAGTCACCCAAAACCTCTAAGGAAACTGGACGGTCTGTTTCTTTTCCTGTGAATGTGGTTGCTCTGCCCCCATCATGTGGACGGTGAGCATATCCTTCCCGAGGTGTGCAACCACCTCCATGGTTAATTCTAGAACATTCTCATCATTTCCCAAGGCAGCCCTGTCACTCCGTGACCTCCCTGCCCCACTCCCCTGCCCTGGACAGCCGCTCACCCACGCTGTCTCCATCGAGGTATCTATTCTGAGCATTTCCTTTCGTGGGATTGTATAATGTGTGGTCTTCTCTCACCGGCTCCTTCCATTTAGCACAGGCGTTTGAGGTTCATGTAGCATGGGTCAGTACTTCAGTCCTTTTTAAAAATATATATATATTTTATTGATTTTTTTACAGAGAGGGAGGGAGAGGGATAGAGAGTTAGAAACATCAATGAGAGAGAAACATCCATCAGCTGCCTCCTGCACACCCCCTTGGAATTTACATAAACAAAATGCATGTATCTTGTGACTATACTTTAGTCCACATGAGCATGGTTATGCTTAACAGTGACTTTTGTGCTTTTAACTGCTTCTCAAATCTATAATATTTCCTATTTTTTAAAAACATTTTTATTGATTTCAGGGAGAAGGGGAGAGGGAGAGAGAGACAGAAACATCACTGATGAGAAAGGATCATGGATCAGCTGCCTCCTGCACACCCCCTACTGGGGATGGAGCCCACAAACCAGGCATGTGCCCTGACTGGGAATAGAACTGTGACCTCCTGGTTCCTAGGTGGACGCTCCACCACTGAGCCACGCTGGCCGGGCACGCTAGTCTTTTTTGATGTGAAATATTTCATCACATTTACCACCACATTGATTTAGCTATTCGTCAGGGGATGAAAATTTGGGCTGTTTCTACTTCCTACCTGTTATAGATATGCAGCTGTAACATTTATGTACATGCTTTTTGGCCCTGGCTGGTTTGGCTCAGTGGATAGAGCGTCGGCCTGCGGAGGGAAGGGTCCCAGGTTCAATTCCGGTCAAGGGCACATGCCTGGGTTTTGGGCTCAATCCCCAGCCGATCAGTAAGTCTCTCTCATCATTGATGTTTCTATCTCTCTCTCCCTCTCCCTTCCTCTCTGAAATCAATAAAAAATTAAAAATAAAAATAAAAAATAAAGGAGTATCAGTGTTTTTTGGGTGGAAATGTGTTCTCAGTTTTTTGGTGTATGGCCGAAGAGTAGGCTCACTGGGTCCCAGGGGAAGTCTGTGCCCAATGTCGTGAGGAACTTCTAACAGTTTTCCCAAGTGGCCGCACCGCACCACACTCCCCTAAACACACGCGAAGGCCCCGACGTCCTGCCTCGTTGCCAGTTTTGTTACTGATTATTACTTTTAAGTCACTGGTCTACTGGTGGTGGGACGTAGTCTCTTACGGTGGTTTTGAATTGCATTACTTTATTTTCCCTTTTCCTGTAAAGCCAAGGAGACCGCCAGACGCATTCAGAGAGCCGTAGGCACCGAGCTGCATTCCCTCACGACTGGTGATGCATTTACGACGTTCACTTATCTTCTTTGGGAAATGCCTCTCATGCCCCTCGTCAGACATGTCATTTGCAAATCGTTTCGCTGGGCTGTGTCTTTTCTTTTTCTTGGGTTGCCATCGGGAGTGGCCGCCTCTCTCTCCCGTCCTCCCTGCCGGCCCGCCTGACGGAGGGAGGTGCTCCTTCAGGAGGGAGGTGCTCCTTCAGGCACGTCTGCTCCTGCTGATGTTTAAACCAGAGGGCGAGCCAGGGAAGGAGCAGGAGGGAAGGAGCGGAGGCTGACGCTGGCGAGGCCCCCACTAAGGCCTCTCACCTGCACAGGCCAGTGCAGGGACCAGGATGTACAAAAACACACATTTGAAACACCAGCCTCTCATAGGGGGGGGGGGGGGGGGGGAGGGAGACAGCCGGGCCCCAGAACCACAGCATCTGTGTGTCATTCGCACTGACAGTGACTCATCACTTCCCTCCTCGCAGCAGCTGGTGGCCTCCCCACAGCCTCCTTTCTGAGGCCTGCGGGCGAGAGAGGGGCTCCGACAGGGAGCGCTTTCCGAGGTCCTTCCTGGACAGACAGACGGACAGACGCCCTTGGAGACCCTGGCCGCTCCGCCTCCAGCCCTTTGGGGGCCCTGCAGACTCTGCCCTCTGGGGGGCCATTTAAAGGTGCTAGGTTCAGTTTAGGGGGAAGACAGCACTTTAGAAACATTGAAATATAATTCCTCCCTTTCCGTAGCGTTCACCACGTCAACGTGCACAGGGCAGTGTGTTCAGTACATTCACAGGCGGTGCACCCACAGCTGCTGCCTAAGTCTTTTTTAAAAATATATTTTATTGATTTCTTACAGAGAGGAAGGAAGAGGGATAGAGAGGTAGAAACATCGATGAGAGAGAAACATCGATCAGCCGTCCCCTGCACACTCCCTACTGGGGATGTGCCTGCAACCAAGGTACATGCCCTTGACCAGAATCAAACCTGGGACCTTTCAGTCCGCAGGCCAACACTCTATCCACTGAGCCAAACCGGTTACGGCATGCTACCTAAGTCTTGAAGCTCTCCCTCCCTCCAAAACAGAACCCCGTGCCCACCAGCCCCCTCCCCGCTCTGCTGCCCGGCCACCACTCCTGTGCTTCCTGTCCGGGGCTTGCCCATCTGGACGTTCCCGGGGACTTTGGCCTGGAT